GGAGCCCTTGCTGACCCTCCCTTTCCCTCTCTTCAAGTACAGCTGCCCCCTTCAGCCTTTGTCTTCCCCACTGGGTGGCCTCTAGACTGCTTCTGAGACAGTCTCTTCCATGCCCATCTCCCCACTGCATTGTGACCTTGGCGAGGACAGGGCCATCTTACTCACTTCTCTATTCCTGCCTCTTGGCACAGTGACTGTCATATCATAAGCACTAAATGCATCCCGGCTGAGTGAAGCTCACACAAGCAGGAGGTGACATAGTTAGGATTCACGTCCAGATCTATCCAAGACCATGGTCTGCTTTTCTCAGTTCGTTATTCTGCCTGCCAAGAGACTGTAGGAACTTTATTCTGGTCAATAGTGTCAGAACTTTGATGAGCTGTTTCCTAATAACTTGTAAGTAAAGAAAATAAGATTATCCTCCCTGGAACTGTAAACTGCATGAGAAATACATCAAGGCCCAGTTGCAGTCACCTTTAAGTGAATGACTCACAGGCCTACAGACTTTACTGTCAGTTATGGGGATGTGGGCTCTGAAGGAGCGAGAGTGCTAGTAGCTGCTCTTCCAAGTACTGTCCGAGGGAGAAAACTACTGGCCGAGGAATCTGCCCCTAAGGCCTAGTGGCCTGTTCTGAAGATGGACACAGCTGTGTATTAAACCTTAGAGGTAATTCCCCTTGTTAGGACTTAATGGGCCTTCTGATCATAAACTGGCCATCACAAGGCTTCACTATAGGAAGAGAAGGTGCCATCGTGAAGACTCAGGTTCTGTCCCCCTTGGCAGTTATGTTTCTCATTGTAAATCAATAATCTGACTTCCAGGTATTACACCTAGTTTCTGTGAGCTCAGCTCAGTGAGTGAAACCCCCTGTGAGAAACAGACCTGCTCCTGAATTCAGAATCTACATGTGCTGCAAGGCAGAGTTCAGACTCTGGACCGCAGTGGCCTCACCATACCCCGTCCTCCCCATGTCCTCCCACCTCATGCTCGCATTGCCACACATTCCGTTTAGAACCACATAGCCATGGTGTCCGTCTACCAACTAATTTTCAAAAATTTTTCTAATTCTTTGTTCAAAACATCGTTATCTGCTTTTCACAAGTAGAAGAGAGTAAATCCTCCATTCTAAGACTGAAAACTATAATCCTTGCAGAACACCGTTCATGTTACGTTGTGTCCCCATGTGTCACAGACCCGGATGGTTGTGCCTGTTCTCTTCTCTGCAGTTCATGAGCTAGAATCCAGGCAGGCCAGCAGGTGGAGGCAGCTCTGAAGCTTAGGTCTTGAAACAGCCAACCCTGAATTGGGGGCACATAAGAAAACAGAATCCGATTTTTTTTCATGCCAGGAATTAATAGCAATAGTGAATAATACATTTTACAATGTGCCAGCCACTATTCTAAG